GAATGAAGAAATGTATTTTGGCTTTGCCTTGAGAGAGGCAAAACGGTAGTACTGTCAAAATACATAGAGATCCAAAGTAGAATTCTTCTCAGGAATGGGGCTTCATTCACGTGACTGGCAGGAGGATGATTTTAAGCTGACCCCTTCCAAGAATGGAGCTGTGCAAGGCTGAGAGGAAACTCTATGGCCCTGGGTATTAGAGAGGGCAGTTGTAGAAGCTGTTCAGTTGGAACGAGAGTTCCTTCTTAGGCATTTTAAGCTTCTCTCTCCAGCTTATCCAAGATGGCACACCCATGGCAGAATGAAAAAGGTAGGCCATTCAGTAGAGATACTCTTCACAAGAGATTTAGAGTGATAATCCTATCTTCCACCTAATCACTACTCCAAGTTGCTTACATCGTGGGTACTTATAGAAAGACTTCTCTAGTCAAATCCACATTGATATCTTTCCCCTATATTTATTTTTCAATAGTGCTTAAAGAGAGATTAATGTTATCTAGCCCTTTTAAAATTATATACTGTCGTAAGCATTCTCTTCCTATGCCATGTTTATTTGTTCTAACAATTTTAGGTAAAAATTATTTTTCACATTTTACTTGAATTATTTATGAATTTTAGTTAATCAATCAGTGTTTGCTAAGAATCCAGTAATTACCAACAAACTCTATCTTTTTGTTAACTACCTATTTGTTAACCAGAAAATCTAAGTTACCCCTTTCCTCTATCTCAATTGACCCCATCCTACTTTCCAGAAAATGAAAATAACTGAGTAAAGGGCAATATGGCATAGACAAAAAAAAAAAAAAAAAAAAAAAAAGAATTTAGGTTTTAGAGTCAGACTAGGTTCAAGTCCTAGCTCTGATGCTTTCTAGCAGTGTGACCTTGGGCAAATTATTTAACCTCTTTGAGCCTCAGTTTCCTCAACTGTTAAATGGTGTAATAATACCTACCTCATTGGATTGTTGTGAAATTTAAAAGAGATTACGTTTGTAAAGCGCCCAGCACAGTGCCTGGAGACAAGACACATACATAAATATTATAATACAAAGCAATATGTGTTAAGTGCCATATGAGTAGTATGGATGAGGTGTGGAGGAGAGAGGCTGGGATGATTAGGTAAGGCATGTAGTGAAGGTGCAGCTGAGTGGAACTGTGGAAGATGAGTAGGATTTCCAGAGATGGTGATGAAAAGTGATGGCCAGCTTAGGCAAAAGGAATGAAAACTGTGTGTAAATAAAAATGGTATGGTAGGTGAACCACTTGCAGTAGAACACGTGGAGGGAAGTAGCAGGAAATAAGGCTCAAAAGGTCAGGAGGAGAATCTTGATTGCCCAGCTCCTCTTGGGGAGCCCCTTAACATTTCTGAGCAAGGAAATCATACAACCAAATAGGGATTTGGGCAACAGGAGACAGCATGAATGCCCTGGAAAACAGAAGGTATATCCAGAGCAATGAGCAACTGGAACAGGTACCTGGGGACAGGGAGGTGGAGAGAATCTAAGGTGGTATTATTGAAAAAGGGTAGGGAATGAATACAAGTTTCACCTACTTCACGATTTTGCCTAGGGACAGTCCTGCCTCTGAGTACCTTTGGCAAGAGGAGACAATAAGAGATAGTGTCAGGTCATATGCATTTGGAACACTGTGGGCAATAAAACAAGGCATGGGTTAAACAAAGGGCTTTCTGAACTTAACCCGTTGGCTGCACATCATCTCACAAGAGCTAACGCTTGGCTACACCTGGTTTTCACTTCATGTGTAACAGATTGTTGTGTTCTAATTCTAATATGGTCTTAATGTAAATTTTGCATTCAATTTCCTTTTCTCTTTCTACAAAGGTAAACGAGAAATCGATTTTGCTGCTCTGTCTAGCCACCTTTCTACTAAGCTGGAACCGTGAAATCATCATTATGCAATCACCAAATATTATGGCATGTTTACAAACTCCAGAGTCACACAAATGGTAAAATATCTTGGAACAAAATGAATACGTCACACCACAAACGTAGAACAGTGATGTTTAATCCTGTCACTTACTTACAAAAAGGACTGATTAGGTACGCAAATATTTCCCATTTTCGAAGTTCACGTTATTTGTGTATTGGAGGCATTTATAATTTACTTAAGACAACATGGGGCATTTTATCATTTTTCAATAGCAGCTATTTTGGCTTAGTAGTTCAGCCATAATAGGATATTTTGACTCAGGATTTCAGCCATCATAGGCCTTTCAGGAAAAATCTATAGTACACATACTAAATATTCTAGAAGAAAACTTGTAAAAATTGTTTTTTGGGGTAGAGTTTATTTCTGCTAACAACGGGTGATTCATTGAGATGGATCAATTTGACTTTGGAGCTAGATATTTGAAAGATGATTAGAACTGGAGATGATCAAATTAGATTATATTAAAAGCTAAAAGTTATGGAAATACTTCCTAGAGTGTACACATCAGAGAGTAGGCACTGTGCTTCAGAAGCTCCTCTGGACTGTAATGCTTGGTCTAGTCTGAAGGGCAGAAAATCTCTGACTACAGCCAAAGCTAAAGGGGAAATGGCTGACAGATTGTTTAATCACCTTTGGAATTATTTTCACACTTTACTGTGAGTAGAGATCAAAAGTTTAAAGCAGTAAAATTTATACAAACAGATACAGACTTAAACTCCCAGCAAATTTAAACATTTCTCCATCTTCTAAATTCTGTATTGATACATAATGTATTATAACTGGATGAGTTACAGTGAATAATCACAAGGATTTCTATTCTTTTATGATAAAATGTAAAATAATACTTTTGTAAATATTATATATTTTAGTAACTATTATGTACTAGATTAGAAAAAGTTGTGTTTAGAAAGTCAAAGAAGAAAAATAGAAATAGTTTTCTGAGTATCATCTATAGCAAATTTCTTTCTTTTTTTGGAGAGGTTTTTGCCATAGGGCGTGTGTGCTCGCCAGAAGGACAGAGAGAGACAGAGAGACAGAAAGCAAGAAGTCACCCCCCAGAGGGGATGGTCACACCGCAATCCCTTCTCCTCCATTCTCCTCTGGGGATCTTGGCACACACACACACACACATGCCCCACTTGAGTTTAAGCCACTGGGTCCAGGACTTAAATTGCGATCGACTGCATGGGAGGGAGTCCAGTGATGTAACCATTATACCGTCTGCTGGTCCCAGCAAATTTATTTCTTACAACCAACTCTAACAATATTTACAATGGTTAGTTGGCTATGATTAAACATTCAATAAATAAAATAAGATGGCTCAAAAGACGATGTGCATAACAGGGGCTTGAAAATTATAATGCATTCTAAATTTATTCAGATATTGAGATATTGCTATAGAAATGAAATCTCGCCTAATTTTGTTTATATTTATTTATGAACATTTTTACTATAAAATATGTCCATTAGTAAACAAATCATGACATAAAAAACATATGCGTGTCAAAAAATTTTAAAGTTTCTTACTGGAAATAAAATAAAAAATTAATTTTAACAAAATATTAAAAGGTTGGGGTGCTATAAATGCCTTTTTCCATTCATAAATTTTTTTTCTTCTCTTTAATCTTGTATATAATAAAGGTTACTCTTTCAATGGTGAGGACTTTTTAAAAGAACATTATATCTTCTAAAATTTTAACTTTGTGACCAAAAAAAGAAAGCATACATTTATGAAAGTGTATGGGTCAGAAGCGTGATTCAGAAGTAAGATTATTTACTGGGTCAGGAGAATACAGAAGAGGTTGGATAGAATTGGGCAGCTATAACCAGAAGGGTCAAGGTAAGTAGGGGAAGTGGATCAGGAATAAAGACTGAAAAGTCAGGGTTAACTACAATGTTTCCACTGGTGAAAGCTAGTAAGATTTCCAAACGGCCATACTGGTGGACAAATTGGTTTCATATGTTATGCAGAGACTCTCCAAGATACTCAGAGGAACCAATAAAAATCAACAGCAATCAGAAAAACACTAGCTGTCCAATACTAAATCAAGCTTTTGGACAATTGAGGGCCTTTTCACTTCCTTTCTGGCAAAGGAGAAGATAATTCTAGGAAAAATCATGCTCAGAGCAAAATTGAGGCCACGGTATTAGTTTACTTGCTGAAAGGGGCTATGAAAACACCTTTGTAAGAGACAGGTGGTGGGGTTATACGGGAAATAGTTGTACTCTAAGAAGGGGACTATTAAATGGCTTGTTTCTCCAAGGAGAGACAGTGAATCATGTGAGGCAACAGACATCTGCTCTCACCTGCTCAAGGGACGCTCTCTGGCTACCATGCAACCAGCCCCTCTCTTAGAGAAAAGGTGAGGGACAAATAAGACAGTAGACAAGGTAATTCCCAATGTCTACGCAGCCTTGTGATAGGACAGAAAAATCCTGGTCAGTTGTTCACAGGAACGTGAAATGGTTGACACTATATACCTGAGTTTTCATAATTTCTGAATCTAAGAAATACATTCATTCCAAATCATATTTGATTAGTTTGTATCATTTCACCAATCAATATTTTTTCTTTCAGAATTCTTTTTCTTTGGCTTCTGTAAGCTTCTCCCCTTGTTTTCTTCTGACCTCTTAGACTGAAATGACTTCTAAAGTGTTACTTGTTCTGTCTTTGAAGAGCCGAAGCTCAGGGACAGGTTTTCCCTCTATGCTCTGCCTCTGTGCAGTGCTAACATTCATTTTCCAATCCCAACTGCTATTTATGTGACAATGATTCCCAAATTTTTGTCTCAAACTCAAATTTCTGTGAATTCCAGGCAATTATTGCCACATTAAATTAGTAAATTCAATGTACGGTCACTGAGCTATTATTGTAACCTATGAACTCCTTATTTGTAGGCTATTGTTCCTTATTTGGGTGTTGACTATTTAATTACAGTGTAATTCCTTCTCCTTCCAATCTGTGAGCCATACCACTGTATTGTGAAGATTGCTCTTGGGAGAAGCAAATCTAACCACATCACAAGACGTCCTTCCTTTCAGGGACATCCTGTTAAGTTGACATAAACCATGGCTCATAGAACACTTCATGATTGGGTTAGTTCCACAGCCTAGTGGTTGAGCGAACATCTCACATACTGACTGCAATTGGAATCCTAGGCAGCTTACAAACATGCCAGAAACATGTGTGTGCATGTTCAAAATCTCAACAGAATGGCAGAATGGAGACGGAATTGTGACATGACCATTATTCTATTGAGGGTCATTTCTCTCTCTCTTTCTGTCTCTCTAGTTCTCTGTCTCTGGTGAGTGCATGTGCTCTCTGGCAATTGAAGAAAAAGAAAACTTTTTCTGATCAAGGCCTGGTCTCCCTGTTGATATCCACAATCTTGTGCAACTTTAGACATCACCTTTCACTGAACTGACTCACACTCACCTGTCTGGGGCAATAACGCTGGACCTTTGCAACTTTTGTTTTTAACTGGAAACTGAATCCATCACTGTGCATGGGAAAATAGAAATTCTATTTTTCTAGACTCAGACTAGATGTCACAGCCTTTTAAAGCCATCTCTCTCTCTCTCCAAGTAGCATTAACTGCTGCCTTTGTTCTGTCCCTATGACCCAAGATGGGAACTATTATGCCATATTTTACCACATGTTTCTCACATACTTGATGGCATTAGTTTATCAAGCTTTGTTTCTTTCTTTGTGATATTAAAAATAAAATTTCATTTTTAACTAATGGTGTCTTAGAGCAAATGCTGTACTGTCCAAACTGCTATATCACCTACGAAACGGTTTAGTAGCCTGAAACACCTGAAATGCTGAGTTTGCTTCTAGGATGGGTGGGCCTGAGCAGTTAGGTAGGGGAAGCCCCAGCTTTCTGACTGATTGACCCATTTTCTTCTAGATCCCTGTTATAGTTTGATGCCAACTGTATTCAGTGCTGATGGGAAAATTCTGAGTTATGCGTCAAAGCAGGACTTCTAGTACAATGTCAACAACTTAAGAAATATCCCAGTTGGTTGATGTTCTTAGTTGCTCTGATCCATGGAATATAGGGACCATGGCGATCAACTGTCAACCCTTCCCCCTTCTAATTGCTTGCTGTGGTCTTCTCTTTAAGCTCCCTTTAACTACATCCATTCTGGCCATAAAGAAAAAAAAAAAAAA